GTGTGTGTGTGTATTATAGCAATTTCATTAAAGATTATAATTACAAGAATAAAAATTAAATTAAAAGATGAAATAATAGAGTAAAAGATATGGAAAAGAAAAAAAGAATACAGGTAGTTTTTGACTTACAACATTGAATGATGGTTCAGGGTTGCAACAGCAATGAAAAAAAGTTATTTTGGGGGAGGGGTCTTTTGGAAAGTCATTAAAAGTGGTGAAAGAATTCCATATGAACCATGATGGTGCATTCCTCTGAATATCATCTTCGGGAAATAACAACAGCAAAGTTAGTCATTGTGTGTCTTACTTTCCAGGATAAAGTGGTTGGGCACTGTGGGAAGTAAAGTGATGGACTAGATAAGATTTTGATGTAATTCATTAGACCTGCTCTTATGTTTGGTATCATTTTTTAAGGTTCTAATACGTATGAAGAAGCTGCTGCATACATTCAGTGCCAGTTTGAAGATCTGAACCGAAGAAAAGACACCAAGGAAATTTATACTCATTTCACCTGTGCCACCGACACCAAGAATGTGCAGTTTGTGTTTGATGCGGTTACAGATGTTATAATTAAAAACAATCTGAAGGAATGTGGACTTTACTAAAAGGAAAGAAACAGAGAAAGGTAAATTATGAACTGTAGCATTGCACAAAGATTGTCTGTAGCATTGCCAGGCTGTCATATGAATTTGTGCTAATTTTTGAATTTTCTTTCTTTAGATTTCAGGGTGTGGACTGTTTCTTTGCTGCCTTGTGAGACAGTTGCAAGCATGAACAGGACTGGGGAATGAAAACAGCATGCAAAACCTTTGCATTCTTTAGCACAATCTTCTATATTAGGGATATTTTACTGATACAGATGCTGAAGTTAGATTCCAAAAATGGAACTATTATTAAGTGTGATTTTTTTTATCATCCTGGCATCACTTGGATTGCATAATTTGAAATATGTACAGCTGTTATAAAGTTTTCATCCCAGAACTTCAAAATGTAGCTTTCTTTAATAAGTCATCATTGCTCTATTTTTAAAGTTTTTCCATCAAACTATATATTGATTAAATTTTATTTTATTTGCAATGAATCTTACATTTTAAAAGCAAACAAAAAAAAAAAAACATTAACTATGCACACAATGTGACCAGATCATGCAGAAAGTATTCCTCTTAGCAGGAACCTTTTTGTTTTTAAAACTTGGTATGGTCAGAACTTGCTAGTATTGCAACTACTTTAAAAGGGCCTTAGAATTCTTATGGTTAAAGCTGTGGCTTACTTCTAATATATACTACATCCACATTCTGCTACCTATACTGTAAGGTTTTCCTCTTCCTTAAAAGGTAGATTTCCTGTAGCAGATTTAACAAATAATGTGTGGCTTATGGGTTGGGAGGATTTAGCCTGGTTAATGCTGAGTACCAATTTGCTGAATATGCAGCTGGTGTAGCAAGTAAAAATCTGATTCTTATATAGAAATTTCTGAAGTGAGTACCAGTTAGCAAAGTGACTTGTAAAATTCCAAGCTTTGGAGGAGGGGGGAAAGTATATGCTGCTACAGGGCTACTGTATCAACCACTTAATTGTTGTGTATGTGTTTGGTCTTAAAGCAGTGGGGAGTTTTGTAGACAGTGGAATTTGTTCTGCATTTACCAGGGCCTTTTGTCCTTAAGAGATTTTGGAAATGTACCAACAGCATGTAAATGTGGTGCCAAGTTCCTGTTTGCCATTGTTTTTCTTGTAATGAAAATTAAGCAGAGTAAGGGCATTTCTTTGCTTAACCATTACACTGAGACTCTTTCCCAATTTTCATGTACAGTTTCAACTTGATGATGTAGTTATTGGCAATATTAAAATGGTGAGTTAAAAAACTTTAAACGTTCCTAATTTTATTGGTGCCATTTCTACAAATCCTTGTTAGTTTCTTACTTGCATTTCTGATTTTTGCAAATAAAAATGTTAGTTAGTCTGATTATTTGCTATTGCTAAACTTTTATATAAATAACTGTAGAATTATATTTTGCTTTGTCAAATGTTCATTGGATTGCACCAAATACTCAGGTAGACTTTCCCTCACCAAACAGTTTTTTGTTTTTTTTTCTTTCTTTCTTTCTTTCTTTCTTTCTTTCTTTCTTTCTTTCTTTCTTTCTTTCTTTCTTTCTTTCTTTCTTTCTTTCTTTCTTTCTTTCCTTCCTTCCTTCCTTCCTTCCTTCCTTCCTTCCTTCCTTCCTTCCTTTCTTTCTTTCTTTCTTTCTTTCTTTCTTTCTTTCTTTCTTTCTTTCTTTCTTTCTCTTTTTTTATTTCTTTCTTTCTTTCTTTCTCCCTCCCTCCCTCCCTTTCTTCCTTCGACTGCAGTCTCTGTGTTCCCGAAAAAGAGAGTTAAGGTATTGTAAAACAATGGGGCAAATCCAGCTACTAGTAAAATTGATATTGCTGACAGGACAGAACCAATTTAATACCATTTTATTGGTACTAATAATCTTTACAAACAGTAATAATAACATCTGAGAATGGTGGCAAGTCAATTGTCAGTTTTTACCATTTGTCACATAAACAAGGTATTACAATGGCTATTTTTAAACAATACGTTGTGACTATTTATTTATATCCTGCTTTATTATTTTGGTAAATAACTCAAGGCAATAAATATATCTAATATCCTTTCTCCTCCTAATTTCCCCCACAATAACAACCCTGTGAGGTGGGTTGGGCTGAGAGTGAGTGACTAGCCCAAAGTCACCCTGTCGGCATGACTAGAACTCAGTCTCTCTGTTTCCCAATCTGATGCCTTAACTCCTACACCAAACCGGGTCTCTTCACTATTATTAAAATTATTTTAGCAAAAGACATGATAATGTTCTATTCATAAATAAGATGCTATAAATAAATACCTTACTAGGATTCTGAGTGTACAGTGGGAAAACTTCATAAATGTATGAATCTAATAAATCAACCATCTAAGGTGACCGTGTACATTTTTTAATAAAATGGGATCATATTACAAGTTACTTAGTTTAAGACCGATTTCATACAAGCATGAACATGTATTAAAATTAGGGAAATATATTGTATAAATGAATAATGTATTGAGCTACCACTTCAGTTCCTGTAAACAGCATATGAATCACAGCAGATATTTTTGAAAAGAAAATGTGAAGAGGAATGTCTATGGAGAAAAGGAATGTGAAGAGGAATGGAAGAAATTATTTTTCAACCAGGCACCCATACTTTTTAATGCAAATTTATTTTTATCTCTTACATATTTATTCAAAGCTGCATGCAAGGAGTATCTTGTCTAACAATACAACTTGTTTACAAATGCTGAGAAACAATACAGCTCTAAATAGCATGAAACTCCTGATACAACTTCTATTTTTGTATCCCTCTGGTCCCTATGTGGGTGTGGAAAAGTTCTCTGCTCCTGTGATGTCAGTGGGTTGAAGCTGTGTATGTGTATCTTCATTATCTCAGGATTAATAAGACAGGTAGACAAGCTGTCTCCGCAGCAGGTATTAAAGCACTGCTGTAGTCTATGAGTATCGGAGAACAGACCCATTCTAGATTCACTGAATTCAATACTAGAAAACTTTTTTTTAAGACACTGGGTTCTAATTGCACCAGTTTCAGACAACTGCAAATTGTGTGTTTAATCTATTTTTAATAGGTTTAGATTTGGAAAATACCTCATTTCTATATACAATATACAGTTTTTGGACTTGGACAATCAGACCATTGGTTTTAAAATGAACAGTTCCGTTAAATAAGACCCCAAAGCACTGATTGTATTTTTCCTGTGCAAGAATTGTGTTTTTCCTGTGAAAGAAAGTATTTATAAATAGTTTATAAATGCGGAGAATCAGTGTTTGACATAAATTCATTGTTTGTAAACCAGTTTGTCTTCACTGTTGCCCATGTTACAATTTCCACTTTCACACATTTTAGAGTACTTTAGAAAGGAAACTTATCAAAGAAAATTATTCAGAAATTGGAGACTCTTTAACTTTTTGATCCTTTTAGCCTTTTTGATGGCGTGTCCTTGGTAGAATTGTTTATCTTCTGTGGAGAAGTATAGATTCCTGAATGACTGTTGGCTCTGTTGGTTCTGCTCAGCAGAATGGTGAAGCTCACTGGAAGCCCAGGTTCCTGATAGATGAAGATGAGATAATATTTTGATTTTAATGAAATCAAATTACATTTGAACTTGATTTTGGCAAGAGAATGTCAAAGATGTAGAGATAGGTTTGATGTACTGTATATGCATACATGCGTGCATACCTTCAAATATTTTTCAGCTTCAACCCTAACAGTGGTCATGGCACGTGAAGTCTGGCAACATCTACAGATTCTGCAGATGTTTTGGAAATAATTGCATCCTTACACATTTAATACCATGTAAGCACTTGAAAAAGCTTAAATAGAATTATACATGGCTATTTCTTGGCTGGGGTGACTACCAGGAAATCCCAGATATATTGAAAAGCGAAAAAACATCATGAAAGAAGACAAGGGCGGACCATTTCCACATCATTTTCAACCCTGCTTCTCCCCCCCACCCCATGGATGTGACCACTAGGAGTTGATTCAAGAGAGGCTATTTACTTTTAAAAACTCCTGAGTCCTGTACTGAGTACCAGCTTTGATTTTGCTGATAGTATTACACCGGGTTGTTTTGTAATCACCTCATAGCCGATGATTTCCTTAAAATTTCGTCTTCTGTTGCATTAGTGTCTTCAAACCCGTTTTGGAAATAATTGCTAAGCGAAGAATTTGGCAATGGTGCTAACTCTTCTTATGTAATAATTATTGCAAATTATTATGGCAAAAGAACTGAAATAGCCGAGTACTTGCATAGTATTATTGCAAGCATCCTGTTGCAGTTTTACTGCTGCTTCCTATTACATATGTAATAGGACTTGGCTACTGTTTGCATTTAGTTATGCACATTTGACTTTAAGCACTACTGTTCAGAAGTAAGTATAGTTACAAGCATAAGTAAGGAAATGCTAAAGTATACTTACTGCCTAATTCCTACTTTAGGAACAGATAATTGAACCCAATTACCTTTTTCTTTTAAAAAGCTGTAATCTTAGAAGAGACCACAGTCCTTTAGGTTCTCTTTGATGATTACATCTGTTACTGCATCAAATACAAATTTGACGTTCTGTGTATCTGTGGCACAAGTCATGTGACTATAAATTTCTTTTGCATCTTTTCTCATGTTTAGATCAAGAAACTGAAGCTTGATGTAATTGCCTGCATCTTCAAATGTATTGGGGCCTGTTGGGAAAAGGAAATGGGAAAACATAAACAAGTGCTAAAACGTATCACATTGTTTGGATCCCGAGTTACTCATTTACAAAAAGAGCCTTAGATCTAACAACATTTTCTCCTGGTGGAAGTGAAAAAGAAGTGATATGCTGCCTTGAGTTCCTGGAGGAAAGGCAATGTAAATGTAACAATTTGCTTACTCTCCATATTGTTGCCTACATTGTTCCTAACCCTTGATTAGATATTGAAGGGGCAGATAAAACCACTAACAGATTGCTTGCACTAATGGAAATATCGCACACATATTTCAGTCCAGGTGTATGTATTTCCATCTGCATCTTGGAACATGATTTTTATGTGATACCAGTGATACATTACTTTGGTGTAATGTACTTATTATCAGAACTGTTATAAGCAGTTCTTGAACAGAAAGAACCCGATAAATTGCTCATATTCCCAGTTTCTTTTGTATGAATATTATACAGCATAGAAAGTAACTCAGTGAAACATGTAAATTGAAATCGGTAGTTTCTCTTTGAAGTAAGCCTGACAAGCCTTTAGAATGTAACTGCAGTCACGTTTAAAGCTTAAATTTCTTAAGTGTAATACTTTCTTTATTGTGTTATTTTATAGAACAAACATTTTTTAAATCAATTAAGTTGTATGTATGCGAATTTCTTATTGAATTGATATTTTTCCATTTCAATAGTAAATTACTTCAAACCTAGCGCTTTGTTCATCAATGTATACAGTATCATTTACTTATTATGAAATTTATTTGCCCCCCATCTCATATCCAACAACTAGGGCATGAATTATGTTCTTGACAAGTGTTCTTTAATCTGATTGTCACCAAATGTATTGAACTACTATAACTTCAAGCCACAAAATTGCTGGACATGCTGTTTGGGAATATTGATAAGTAATCCATTCCACATGGCAACGAAACAGCCCAAGCCACTGGTGTAAGAGGAAAGCCTTTTTCTTATTTAGTTCTTTCAGCAAATGATTTTGGCTTTCATGAAAATGAGGGAAATGTTCTAACTCACCATCGTAGTCAGGGAAGCAAATACTGAGGTGTACTTTCTTGATTTTTTCCTCAAAGAGGTCCTTCTTGTTCAAGAAAAGAATGATGGAAGTGGCAGCAAAGAACTTGTGATTACATATACTGTTGAAGAGATGCAAAGATTCATGCATGCGGTTCTAAAGAGAAGAACTTTAAAAAGTTAAGTTTAAAAGGAACAGTGGTACCCAAGGCTACCTAATGATTTTATGTAAATAGTCTGTTAATTTAAGCAAAAATAAACATTTCAATAAATAAGTAAAATAAATGGTATGCAGTCAGCAAGGATGAGAATCAGTGATTAAATGAAAAGTCAAATTCTTACGCAGGGTTTCCTAAGAGTTAAGATAGTTTCTTTCTACACTATTAACATTTCACATTGAAAAATGCAAAAAAAAAAAAAAAAACTACCAAGAAATAAACACCATCATATATAATTGCTAACATTAAAACAACAACATTTCAGACAACTTGCAAGAAGTGGGTTGGATCCATACAAAATATGTGTCTCATGTTTGCTCCAGTGGATATAACAAAGGGAGTACTAGATTCTAGATCAAGGGTCTCTAAACTTGGCAACTTTAAGACTTGTGGACTTCAACTCCCAGAATTCTCCAGCCAGCATTCTAAAGACTTCTGGGAGTTGAATTCCACAAGTCTTAAAGTTGCCAAGTTTGGAGACCTCTGTTTTAGATCATCAGAATGCTCTTTATCATCTAGCCTAGCTTTGATTTCTTTCTCAATGTTGGACAGAGTTGTAAACAAAATAGCTGTGCGCCCATTAATACCCATTTAATTCCAATTGGGAAGAATTTGTGAAGGTGTTCCAGATTCTGTCCACTGGTCTATCAACAATACACCTGCAAAAATGGAATGGAGTGCATTTACATTTAATTGTAAATGCACTAAATGCACTCTATTCAATTTTGGGCACAGGAGAAAAACGCAAAATAAAAAAAAATGTGTTTAAAATGAGCTTGGAGGAAAAAAAAGAATTCCCACAGTACATCCCCAGGAAACAAGTCTTTCAGTAGTGGTTTGATCCATTGCTGACTGTTCCATCCTAAGCCCCCCCTTTCTCACTTCCCTCCTGGCTGCATTGCTCGGTGGTTTGGGCTGAGAGGTGCCTGCTTTCCTCATCATGCTATTTTCTAAGAATATCTGTGAAACATTCCTGCTGAAGGGCAGGAGAGACCCAGAAATTAGGATGCTGCTGAAAGTTATGACTGTTTTGTTGCACGCCAGCTTTTTTCATTGCTGCTTTAAAAGCATATTTGAAGTGCATGTCAGAAGAAGTATGGATGGTCTTCATCATACAATCAACAGTTTGTTTAGTGACCGTTCACAGTTACAACGGCACTGAAAAAAAGTGACCCATGGCCATTCTTCACACTTAAGACTGTTGCAGCATCCCCATAGTGATGTGATTTATATTTGCATGCTTGAAAACTGACTCACATTCACGACGGTTGCAGGGGTCATGTGATTTCTGTTTGCAACCTTCTGATAAAGCAAAGTCAATGGGGAAATCAGATTCACTTAACAACAGTTTGGGCCAATTTAACAGCTGCGGTGATTCACTTATCAGCCGTGACAAGAAAAGTTGTTAAATGGGGCAAAACTCACTTAAGAAATTTCTCACTTAGCAACATAAATTTTGGGCTCAATTGTGGTTATATAGATAGAATAGATAGATAGAATTCTTTATTGGCCAAGTGTGGTTGGACACACAAGGAATTTGTCTTGGTGCAAATACTCTCAGTATACATAAAAGAAAAGATACATTCGTCAAGAGTCAAGAATCATCAGGTACGACACTTAATAATAGTCATAGGGTACAATAAGCAATCAAATCATACTAGGAAACAGTCAATATAAATCGTAAGGATACAAGGGACAAAGTTACAGCCATACAGTCACAAGTGGGAGGGGATGGGTGATAAGGAGTGATGAGAAGATTAATAGTAATAGTAGTGCAGACTTTGTAATAGTTGAACAATGTTGAGGGAATTATTTGTTTAGCAGAGTGATGGCGTTTGGAAAAAAACTCCTTGTGTCTAGTTGTTCTGGTGTGCAATGCTCTATAGCATTGCATGTAGAATTTATATATATAAATATATATATAATTTATATATATTGCATATAGAACTTATATAGAGTTGCATATAACATTGCATATAGAAAACCTAGAACTACGCCACCTTCAGTCCGATCTAAGTATAGTACATAAAATTATATATTGCAATGTCCTACCTGTCAGTTTCAACCATAACTATACAAGAGCACACAATAAATACAAACTCAATACGCACCAAACTTGATTGCAGGAAATACGACTTCAGCAACAGAGTGGTCAATGTCTGGAATACTCTACCTGACTCTGTGGTTTCTTCCCCAAACCCCAAAAACTTTAACCTTAGCCTGTCTACTATTGACCTCACCCCTTTCCTAAGAGGTCTGTAGGGGGCATGCATAAGCGCACCAATGTGCCTACCGTCCCTGTCCTATTATTTTTTATTTTTCTTATATGTATCCATGTATTCATAACTATGTTTTAACTTATACCTATTATCTTGTAAGCAATTGACAAACCAAATAAATAAATAGCGTCGTTTTGAGGGAAGGAGTTGAAACAGTTTATGTCCGGGATGTGAAGGGTTTGTAAATATTTTCACAGCCCTCTTTTTGACTCATGCAGTATACAGGTCCTCGATTGAAGGCAGGTTGGTAGTATTTTGAGGACTACCTGTATCTATAGAAACTAGGTAGCCTTCTGGTTATGAGAAAACAGCAGTTAATTCCAGCAGGTCCTTTTTAGCTATTTTCTCTCACTTTATTGAGAGATAGTCTCCTGTCGTCTGCAATTCAATTTGCTGAAAAATAAGCAACGAAAACATTTTTTAATACCTGAAATATTTTATATGTGGTCTTGGAGATGATCCTTCAAATAGCTGTTGATGAAGATAGCCTTATCTATGTTTCATTGGGGTTTACAGAGATAGGTTTTTTTTTCTTTAAATGAGAAAAGACTTGTTGAAACTGGACAAAAATTGATCCCACTTTGACCTGCAGCAACTCCTTAAACAAAGCTAGGAATGGAATTCTTATTCCAGATGGTTTTGTTACTTGGGCTTGAACGAGAGCAGCATAATTTCCCAAAAACAAAATACCACCCAACTGGCTACCTTTTAAAGTTCCTTTAATTTTCCCTTCTCTGGTTGTAATCAGGCAATTATAAAGTTCTGGCATTCTTTATGAGCATGGAGTTGAAAGGGCGACTGAACTAAGTTTGTCTTTACGGGGCGGATGAATTTCAAAGCAGAACCAAGTATTTGTTTGGAATTGTCATTCATCGTATACAGTCTGAGCTAGCAAACATACCATGTCATCGTCTTCTACCAAGACCATGTCATATGCACTGAGAGCGCCACAAAAGATGATGCAGGTCACCCCTTCAAAGCAGTGGATCCACTTTTTGCGCTCTGATCTCTGCCCACCTACATCAAACATTCTGGAGAAAGAAGAACCATGCATGTGAAACGTTGGAACATTTGAAACCAGGGAAATATCTTCCCAAAGCAATGTAGTTTCAATGAGCAGATGCTTGGAACTTTAGAACAAGGTATATTTCTACTGGTTAAAGATGCACATGGCAGCAACTATTCAGCCTCTCACAATTTACACATTTGTAGGCTTTCAACTCATGGTTTCCAACATTCCTGGATCTTGGAGATTATGAGATTGAGCTGAAAGTCCTCCAGAAGACACAAATTTGGGGGAGTCTACTTAGACAAAGATGTGAAATTACAATATAGTTCAAAAACTACTTCCCATTTTTCAGTCAAATGTTTAACCAAAAAAACCTGAAACAATAGATATCAAATTAGAAATAGAAACACCTTAAAAAGTTAAGCTTTTGCTAGGGGCACAAAGAGACACAGTATTAATGTTATTCTTAAGCATGGCCATGTTAGATAAAAAGTAAGGGGGAAAAAATGTTGAAATGCCCTGAACATTGAAGTGTATACAAGAGGAGGAGAGGCAAAATAGAACTAAAATAGGATTTATACATCCTGAAAATTGGTTGGAGAAAATGGAAAGAAAAAGATTTCAGAGCAAGGAAGATATCGAAAGGTTTTGCTCACCTGAAATTAAGATCCTTGACAGCGAACTTTGTCTCTATGATACCTGTGGTTTTAACTCGGGATCGCAATACATCCTGTTCATTGGGAAGATAGTTGGGAGCAGTGATTCTGTCCAGTTGATTAAGATAGCTACAAAAGAATGAGATGCAATATAATTTCTTAGCGTGGCATAGGATTATAAGATAGCATGTGCCATATGCCATCCGTATTTCAATGTGATAGAACTGTGTCAAAGTGTCCTAAAGCTTTAATGGCTTGAGCAGGATTTTGAACCCATATCTTCTAGAAATATCAAACTGAAGTTACTACGATTTAATCTCAACATATTCTGCTTTCCTTTGCATACTGCTAAAGAAAATGTGCATTGGTTAACACCTGGCTAATGTAGCAAGGGCAGAAACGGCAAACATCTGCTGTTTTGAGGTTTTGTTAGGACTGCACAGCAATTGCAAGTTACTGTTAATGCAAACAGATGTTTTTTTACTGTGTATTTTCCAATGTATTGTATTATCTTATATATTTGGCTCTATTTACCCTTACAGTTGCATAATCATTTTGTAAATGCAGCCTTTGCCAATTCAGTGTCTTCTAAGTATATTGGGTGATAAAGCTTGTTGTCATGTAGGAGCTATAGTCCATTACACATGAAAGGTATTAGCTTAGGAATGAAGCATAAGGTAAGTGCAGATATGTATACCCAAAACCAAGTGCACAATGAAATTCAGCTGATATAGTCAGGAATTGCAGTCTCAGAAGTGACACTGTCAACTGAGATTGTTAAAGAAAATTATAACATCATGGAAAACTAACAGGATTACATACAGTACTTGTTTTCCTCTCCTAAATCAAATATGAGTCCTTGGGCTGTGGCATAATTTTTTCCAAATGTTCACTAACTTCCATTGTACTTATTTCAAGATACTTATTAACTGGAATGTCTCCTTCCTGAATTCTCTCCTACCTTCCAAATTATTACGCCACTGACTTCGAAATAATGACATTCCTATTCCTTCCTTCCAAAAGAGTTTGGAAAAGCAATAATTGAAAGCTTGAAATAAATCCAAGAAAACATGTTCTCCTTTATCTTAATCAGATAAGATTAGAAGCCAATCTTATAAAAAAATGCATCTTCAGAAGAGAATTTAGAAAGCCAGGCAAGTTTTGATCAGGGTTGGGGTCCTGCTGTAACCAATACTAGTTTCTCTCTCTGTGCTCACCACGAAGGCCCTTTCCTGAAAGCAGGCACAACATGCTTTCAAAAGTACAAATCTGCCACCAGTGCAAAAGCAGCTTAGGGCTATAATAAATTGACTAATGAGGATACAGGATGTAGGAATAAATATGATCAGCCTTATCCATGTTATTGGGGTAGTCTGGTACTTATATTTCACTTTCTACAGTGTTGTACCTTGAACAATGAATAAACTATAGCATACACAATAGATTAAACAGAATAAACATTCATTTAAAACACGAGAGGGTAAAGGAAAATAAATAAAAACCAAACACAACATACACAGAAGGTCTGGGTATATAGAGCAGGGATTTTTCTTATTTAGAAGTTGGTATATCAATCAATCTGCTAATAGATGTTTTTGGCCACAGCAGTCACTTGTGGATCCCATGGCAATGATGGGAACACTCAAAACTATATATCCATTCTTTCTGAGGAAGTACAGCTATACTCACAACTGATAGACTCCCTAATTCTTCAGGGTTCAACCTTAACTTCTTGATCCTCATCCATAGCATCCCAATTTCCAGAACAAATACTACATCTCTTGACTAAGGCATAATAGTGGAACATTAACGTGACCAGCAAAACTGACAGCATTTCTTGCTAATTGGAATTAATGTAAAACTTGCTGTTATGCCACAAAAAAAGCTGCCCATGAACTGAGACACACTCTAGGACAGAGGTCCCCAAACTTGGCAACTTTAAGACTTGAGGACCTCAACTCCCAGATTCTCCAGCCAGCATAACTGGCTGAAGAATTCTGGGAGTTGAAGTCCACAAGTCTTAAAGTTGCCAAGTTTGGGGACTCCTCCTCTAGGACCATCACTGTAAATAGGAGTGGAATTGCTTCACCACAGTATGTTGTTCCTGCCCCAAACTCTCCCCCTGCCAAATTTATGGAAGATATGGGGACTGGCAGCATGAAAAGTGCTAAGAGATCAAGCAAATTCAACAGAGTTCTTTCTCTCTGTTTCTAAACCAGGTTTGACTGAAAAGATTCCTTTTTTTGGAGGTGGGGGTGTCTTTGAGTCAGTATGAACTCCTAGCTACTGCCTGGACAAGTTTTTCTTGGCAAGATTTAAGAAATACATATCCTTGATTGCACCAATACCATGTGATACTTGTGCAATCTCACGATCACAATCCTTTGAGGAGGATTAATTGCCTTCCCAATAAGTTAATCTTTCATAGATGCAATAGTTGGCTCAGACTTACTATGCAGCAGAATCATTGAGTTGATATTCAGCTGCTCGATCAAAGGTGGCTTGAACTCCTCCATCAAGCCATAGTTTCTTTATACAAGTCACCAATTCTGGGGGCATGGTACCTTCTTCAATTGAGTCGGCCAAACTGTACAGCTGCCGTTGGTCATCCTATTAAAAACACAGAGTCCATAAGCACAATCTTGTTTCCTTGGGAACTGGATGTGGAATTCAAGGCTCAATTTGTTTTTGCTTTGTATGTTATGTCACCTATACGAGATGTCCACGTTTTCAGCTGGGAAGTTCTAGCTTGCAGAGACATGACCATTACATCATTGCATTGGGTTGGACTAGAAAACCTCCAAGATCCCTTCCAACCCTGTCATTCTATTCTATTCTATTCTATTCTATTCTATTCTATTCTATTCTATTCTATTCTATCCTAATCCTAATCCTAATCCTAATCCTAATCCTAATCTAATTTCTGTTTCTGTTTCTCTATTCTATTCCTATTTTATTCCTATTCCTATTTTATTCCTTATTCTATTCTATTCTATTCTATTCTCAAATTACAGTGCTTTGCTACAGTATTTGCATCAGGTTTTTCAAGGGCTGGTGACTGAATGCATCCAACTAGAAAATACTAAAGCAGAGAAGCAGGTAGAAGGAAGAACACTGAACCCTGGTGATGCAGTGATTAAAATGCAATATTGCAGGCTGCTAACTCTGCCCACCACTTGGAATCTGATCCAGGTGGGACTCAAGGTTGACTCAACCTTCCATCCTTGCAAGGTAGGTAAAATGAGGATCCAGATTGTTGGGGCAATATGCTGACATTTTAAATCACCCAGGCAGTGCTATGGGGTGGTATATATGTCTAAGTGCTATTACTATTTGTAGTGGGAGGGGAAAAAAATATAGAAGAAATTAATAACTCCAAGTGATGATATATCAGCTTCTTTGGTTGGTCCTGGCTTGTCCACCAAAACTATTCCCCCTAATGAAGTGCTGTTGTGTATTGCCATTCTGGCACAACCGTGTAGTGGTTTCTTCCAAAATGGCATTTTTTCAGTACCATGTGGTTGATTAGATGATGTCTTATACATTTTTAGCAGTATCTTCCCCCCCCCCCTTTTTTTTTTCTTTTTTAAAGCACATTGCTTCCGTTATGAATTGTAAGAGGTAAGATTGTTTTGAGAATAATTCAGGTCAGTACTGGCATAATTGTTCTAAGGATCAGCTCTTGCGCATTCATGGATAGGAAACAAACAATGCTCTCCAAAGCTTTTCTTTAATCACCAGGTGGCGCTATGCACACCTATTTAGGTTGTGAGGCAAAAAAAAGTAACCTGCTGTGTTTGTACAACACACTCACCCATGGTTACTGAATCCTGGTTTAAACTGTTCATCAAATGTCTGAAGTTGTCTGGAACACTGAACTATAAGCAAACCACATTGTCTAAGTTCATATTAGTCTACACAGTTCATACTACACTATATTAAAATGCAGTGTTCATTTTGCTTGTGGCATGTTCCAGACTAAGAGATTTTGTGTGGCATAAGCTTTTGGGCAATAGTTGTATTGGTACCAAAAAGCACTTTTGAGTGTGGTTGTTTTCCCCAAACCATCTGTACTTGATGCATGTTATCACTATTTGCATGCTTGATATCCCTGTTCTGGAACTAACTAACTAACTCTCTCTCTCTCTCTCTCTCTCTCTCTCTCTGTATTCTATCATTATATATTGCATCTGAACACAGTACATCTTTTAAGCTTCTAGAACAGGGCTGTCAAACTCATGGCCTGATGCGTCATGCGCTGGCCACGCCCATGTCCAGTTTAGCAAAGGGGGGGAAAGTTGTCTTATGTCACGTGACAACACCGTGGCAATGTGAGTTTGACACCCCTGTTTTCGAATGTCCTCCAATGTTAGTTTTTTTTTTTAAATAAAGGTACATTCTTTGGTTTTCTATTATTTTTAACCCATAAGGAAAATATGTATAAACCATAGAATTAAATTTAGTGAAACAGCATGATATGCATTCTGGATTATGATTTAAACATCCCTTGGTCACTCTAGGACTCAAATTTAAAAATGTTTATATGGTATCAGTTTCCTTGTCTCAGCTATATGCAAACACCCACACATCAACCCCGACCCCAGCCTGATCAAATTGAAAACATTTTTCTTATGTAAAAGGAAAAAATAATTGCTCTGTGCTATGTATGTGCAGTGGGAGGAGATATCTATCTATCTATCTATCTATCTATCTATCTATCTATCTATCTATCTAT